GGCGCCTTCCCCAGGGAACGCTTCGGCTGGGGCAGCTTTCACCCCTGCGTTGAGAGGCCAGGACGTCTACTGGCCTTTGTCTCAAAAGACCCTGCTTCTGGGCACCGGCGATCCCTGCAATTGCAGCAACCGCTCTGAAGTGAGCCAGGATCAGCAGGAGACGGATAAAGAGCCTCAAAAGCCCTGGCAGCGTGGCAGACGCAATGATATTTTTCACAACTTAAAGGTATTCCAGCAGAGCAAGAACTCTGCTGGGAGAAAAAGCTTCTGGCCAGAACATCCAGCTTCTGCCAGCTTGCAAATGAGTCAACAGCTTACTGTTGGCTCAGGCTGGGCTGGCTTCGTGCCTGGCAGGAGAGCCAGGCAGCCACCAGAAGACACACGGGGGGTAAAAGAGATGTCTCAAACACCTGTGGGACCTGGAAAAGCTTTTACAGGTGTCCGCAGGGTGCCAATGTCCTCACCCAGGCTGTTCCTGGGATGCTGAGAACGTGCTGCCCAGCTGTGGCAAGGACACGGAAATCCTCCCGATGCCGGCTGAGCGCTTCCCCCGGCAGCGCCCGTCCCCAGGGCCATCGCACGGAACCCCCCGCACGCGCGAGGAGCACACACCTTCTTCATCCACAGCCAGCACAGTGGCACCTCTGCTGAGCAGGGCCTGGACGACGGAGGCCAGCCCGTTCCGAGCTGCGATGTGGAGCGGCCTGGGGAGAGGCAAAGGTGGCACTGATGCAGCCGCGGAGCCACCTACCTTCAACACCCCGTGCTAAAGCAAGGGCCCTGGCGAGCGGCTTCAAGGGCAGATGCTCGGCTGCTCCTGAGCTCACCTGCGGCGACAGCAGAGCTCCTACAACTGCCCGTGTGCCACCCCCACCCAGAAGAGCTCTGGTGTTCCCCCCGGGGCCAGCTGTCCAAATACTCACATTTGCAGAGCACTGTTACTTGCATTGATAAGGCCAAGGTCTTGGGTTTCCCCCAGGATCAACAAGGCACACTTTTCATGACCCTGGAAAGGAGACCAGACTGTTCACAGCGCACGAGCGGGGCGGCAGGGGCAATGGCGGGGACCTGGCCCTGCCCCAGCGGAACACGGTTACCCCGGCATATGGAAACGGTCCCTAAACCCAACCTTCTGCAACAGTCCACCACTCTCACAGGGCCTGAGAAGACAGGCTGCTGTCCCCTCCGTCTCCTCCGCAGCATCTCCTTTGCGTGGACAGACTGGGCACCAGCCTCCTGTTCCCACCATGCCCCAGGAAGCACAGCGAGCTCAGAGAGCCCCAGGAAAACCCAGACAGGTCTGTGCCACAACCTGAGTGGCTCAAAACCGCATCAGGAGCATTGGTGCAGGTCAAGGCAGGCAAGCAGGGCAAGACCAGGGCCCTCGCCTCTGCGCTGGCAGGCCAGGAGCAGGTGGACAACCCCTCTCACTAAGGTGGCAAGGCTGAAGGTGGTGGCAACGGTAATCCCGGCTGGGAGCGGTCATCTCCCTACCTTGCTGCAGGCCAGGTGAAGAGCTGTGTTCTTGTTGACATCCAGCACAGTTATATTTGCTTTTGCTTGGTACAGCAGGAACTCTGAAACGAGGAGGGACAGCTGCTGTTGGGAAGCAGCAGCACAGAGGCCGGCACCGTGGCACAGCAGCCATGTGCTGAGGGGGCAGAGAAGAGGGGCAGCTGTCCCAGCGTGCCTGTGAGGACAGGGACAGCCCGGCTCCCATGGGACCCCGTTACGGAGGAGGCACAGGGACGCTCGCAGCCTGTACCGGGGAAAGCGGCTGCCAGCCACGTACCAACTGCTGCAGTGTGCCCGTTCTCAGAAGCCATCATGAGGGGAGTCCTCCCCAGCTTGTCGGTCATGTCCACCTCGGCTTGGTGGCGCAGAAGCAGCTGTAAACCATGGATGTTGTCTGCAAAGGCAGCAGCGTGAAGGGGTGTCCTTGGAAGATGAGAGAGCGAGTAAGGAGCAGGGCACAGCACCCACCCCAGCCAGACTGCCCAGGCCTACAGACGCGTTTGGGGACGTCAGAGCCCCTTGGTGCCATGGGAAGTCATGCGGAATTCACTGTGGGAGTCACAGCCACCACCCAGCAGCACCGGGGAGCGGGTGACAACAGACAAGACGAGTCTGCACTCACCTTCCTTTGGCATCTCTGCTATTAACAATCTTGGCACCTAATGCTTCCACCAGCATTTCAGCAGTGCCGTCCTGGTTGTTAATTCTGCAGGGGGGACGAGAAGTAAAGGCAGAACAAGACTAAGAAGCAGCATCAGTGTGTCTACAGTGGGAGCCACCAGCCCCAAACCCGTCTGCACCCAGTGGGACCCCAGGGATCGTGCCCGTACCACCCAGACACCTCAGAGGAAGGAGGCTCGGGACAACAGGGAGCCCTTCTCCCACCAGAGCCCATCTCTGGGGCCTCACGGGAAGCCTGGAGATTTCCCGAGATACTCCATAACCCAAGAGCAGAGACGAGCCATCCAAGCGGGCCGGCAAGGGCTGACCCACCAGCCCCTAGCAGCTCAACGCGCTCCATCGAGCCGA